AGCGGGTGGATGTGCACTGTACTTGGGTTTCGCAGGCGGTTCTGGATTTGATTGATATAGACAAATTGCCTGGGGAGGTTCCAGGGGGGGAGATTGTGAGGGAGCCGGGGATGGGCGTGTTTTGTGATAATGCTATGGATATTGTTACTGGTTTGTGGCCCAAACCAAACGCCGCCCAGAAAAAGAAGTTTGTGGGCAGTGCGATGAGGGAGTTGAACAAAGTTGGACTGGTGGGGATGCATGATGCGGGTGTGCTGCCGAGGGATATTGATCTCTATGAGGAGATGGTGAAGAAGGACAAAGAGGAGTGGACGGTGAGGGTGTATGCCATGGTTGAGTGCCCGGAGAGAAACACTTTCTGTCCAGAGGCGGCGAGGAAGGTGGATTTGGAAGGGGGGTGGTTGAGGGTGGGGAGTGTGAAGCTTTTTGCTGGTATGTCTCTGTTTTTTTTTGTTTTTTTTTGGTATTGCTGACAGAAAACAGATGGTGCCCTCGGTTCCTGGGGCAGCGCCATGATCGACCCTTACTCGGACCGTCCTTCTACCTCTGGCTCTCTCCTCGTCAATGCCAGCACCCTCCACTCCCTCGCCCTCTCCTGGGCAAAGGCCAAGTATCAAGTCAACATCCACGCCATCGGTGACCTGGCCAACCGCCACGCCATTGACTCCTTAGCCAAGGCCCTCGACGACCTCGAGGTCTGCCCTTACGGCATCCCACCCAAGATGTGCCAGCAGATCAGCTGCCGTTTCCGCATCGAGCACGCACAAATCATTCACCCAGACGATCAAGCCCGGATGAGAGAGCTGGGAATCATACCCAGCATCCAGCCTACCCACGCTACTTCTGATATGGCCTATGCGGAGGAACGGCTGGGTAAGGAAAGGATCGCGAAGGAGGCGTACAGGATGAGGTCCATGTGGGATGTTGGGCCGCCGGTGCTGGGGAGTGACTTCCCCGTGGAGCCGCCGAATCCCTTTGAGGGAGTATATGCTGCCGTTACGAGGAAGAGTCCACATACAGGCATTGGACCGCCAGGGTGGGAAGGTGGGTGGTATAAAGAGCAGGAAGGGTTGAGCGTGCGGCAGGCATTTGACGGGTTTACCAGGGGCCCTGCCCACGCGGCGTTTTGGGAGAAGAAGGCCGGTGTGATCAGGGAGGGGGGATTCGCCGATTGGGTGGTGATGGACGAGGATGTTTTGAAGATAGGGGAGGAAGAAATCAGGTTCTTGAAGGTGAGGGAGACCTGGGTTGCGGGAAAGAAGGTCTACTCCAGAGATGGCGAGGATGAGCCGGCGGTAGAGAAGCAAACTGGCGCGAAGGAGGATTTGTAAGATGATGTGTGACGAATGAAATGTACATAAACAGACGAGCGAGCGGCGTTGGTTTAGAAATGCGTTGATGATCTATGGTTATACACGAAAATAGGCGTTTAAAACAATGTTTGCAGTTCCTTGATGCGTTGAAGCGCTTCTTCGCGCACTTCCTTGACAATCTCACCTGCCGGCTGGATCTTGCTGACCAATCCCACGCCGCTTCCACTGATGACTGTTAGCAAATATATTCCGTTTCTAAAACTGCCGTGCGTACTTACGCCCAAGTAATCGTCCTGTCCGTCTCGCCCTTCTCTGCAGCTTCCTTGAATAGCCGGATGTTGTCCTCCACTGGCACCCCGTTAAGATGGTCCTCAACCGAACCCCCAACAATGGCTCGGCCGTCATAGATCTTTGGCCAGATGGTGGTGCCCTGAATGTCGTCCATGACCGTATGTCTGTCGTCATGTCAGCCCTGACCCCCAAAAGATTTCCACAACTGCTATTCTTACTTGAAAGTTGACGAGGCCCCGTCCGTTGTCTTTGCAATCAGCTCCTGCTTAAACTTTGGCGTCGTCGCCTCCTCAGCGAGAATGAACTATCTCCTTGTCAGCCTCATTCCATGTCCCATCCCGAAGCTCAAAATTCACCCTCGTCCCCATAACAACCGCATCAGCCCCTGTATAACCCTCTAGTCAGCCCCCGTCCCCTTCTCTCTCAATCCCAGCTGGGTACTCACCCAAAGCCAACGCAGCCACCACCCCCCTCCCATCCACAACCCCCCCCGCCCCCACAACCTCCACCTAACTCCCCGTCCTCTCCTTCTCCCCCTTAAAAACCTCCACCACCTCCCTCAAAAAACTCATCGTCCCCGCCCCCCTAGCAAACTGATGCCCCCCCGCATCCGTCCCCTGAGCAACAACCACATCCGCCCCATCCCTAACCGCATCTTTCAACGCCTTCACCGACCCGACCTAGTAAAAAACCACAAACCCATTATCATGCAACACGTCAATAATCCCCCTCACCACCCCCCCTTCCACATCCTCCACTCTCGGAGCAAAAAGCCACACCGCCTGGGGGGAATACTCCTGCAAAACGGGAATAGCCCTCTCGATAAAATGCGTCCTCGCACTCTCATGACAAAGAATGAACCCCACCCCCACCGGGACAGCCGTCAGCGTCGCCTGCTCCAAATCCAGCACCTTCCTCGCGATTTTCAGCTCCTCCCCCAACTGCCCTAGATGATCCGGTCCGGATTTGGGGTTGAAGTTATATCCCGCGGGGATGAACCCTATCATCATCATCACCACCATCATCATCATCAGCAGCAGCACCCCCTTTTCACATTGACAGAGAGAGAGAAGGGGGAAACATACCAAACCCCCCCGCCTTGCTCACCTCGGCCGCCAACCTCCCGTTCGCCGTCCCTAGCATCGGCGCAGAGAACACAACCGGGTTGGTTGTATTAGGAAACAGCCCCGTCAGCCGAGTCGGCCGCGTCACCTCCTTCTTGTAGTGCGTCTGCGGTAGCTGGGAGGACATGACGACTTGTTTCACTTCCTTCACCTTGGACTTGAGCCTGAGGAGGGACGCCCTTTTGCTGCTGCTGCTGCTGGGGCGGTCTTCGTCGCTCATTGTGGAAACAGAAACAAAAAAAAAAAGTCAGGGGTTAGTTAGTTAGTATGGAGGCAAGAGAGAGAGGTGAGGTCATTCAATAACTAGGGTGTTGAAAAGGTCTGAAATGTTTGTTGGATGGTTGGTGGAATGTGAAGCGCGGGGTTTAAGTGAGGGACCGTTTAAGTGGATGAGGGGAAATTCAATTGGTTTCATTCGTGAAGTGGGGGTTGGATTGCTTGCTCACACAACATCAAGTCTTCGTCTTATATGAGAGTGAATGACAAAACCTCTGCTGTTGTTACTATTACATACACTAAAGGTACAGCTAACCATCTCAACAATATCCCGCTTTGCTTTTACCCTTCAAAGCGCCCCCCTGCCCCCCCTTCCCCACCAAATGTATGCCGCATTTGTATACTCAAAAAGAAAAGAAGAAAAAACCAACCTGGTATCATGCAACCTTTGCTCCCATGGCGGAAAACAGCCTCCCTCACCCAGGAGACCCCATCCGATGTAATGCGCAACCCGTACAGTTATATACAAAATGACCCAATACCAAAGAGAAGAAAAAAAGGGAAAAAAAAGAGATCTCTCGTCTCAAGATCATCAGGCTATCACCCCTTCCCTCAGACTTTGATCATAGAGGAGCATTCCCAACCACAAGCACAAGCAACACCCCATTGGCCGTACATATCCCCGCAAACGCAATCCACGTCGCCACCAGCCCAACCCATCCCATCCTTTCCTGCCTGGCCACCGTCATACAAATCGCCGCACATGCCAGCCCCAGAGAAGTCATGATGCCCAGCGTCACACCCGCGTCCACCTCAAGCCGCTTCTTGTTACGCCCCGCCGTGATGAGCACAGTCGCAATCCCCATCAAGACATACGCAACAGCGTAGCAGCCCCACGTGATCCAGAAAAACATGTTTTCCCTGTACTGCTCAATGCGCTGGTCATTGATGCTCGGCAGAGCAGCATAGTGAGGACGATAGCCGGTAGGAAACTGATCTTCCGAGGAAGCATACCCATACGACCCCCTCCGACTGTGGCGGTTGGAGTAGTTGGCATCCTCCTCCACATCAGTGTCGGACTGGCCACCCCTACTACCAGGCGGTATCGTAAAGTAGCTCGGCTCGGTAGAGAATGGCTTCGCACGAGTCGAACCGTACGTCGAAACGGTCGAGTCAGTCGGCAAGAGTGGTCCGCGCTCGATATCATCGCTCAAGGGAGACTCCCTCGACCGCACCGATCGAATCGACATCCAGGCTGAGTTCAACTTCTTGACCGGGTTGGAGAAAAGATTCCCAAGAGCCTTCATGCCGGGGAAGCTCATGTCCTCGTTCGGGTCAATATAAATAGCATAATCCTCATCCCTCCTGTCGTTGTCCCCCGCCTCGCTTCCGCAGTCGTACTCATTCCAGTACACCACCTGTGACTCGCTCACAACCGTCGCCTCGCTCGGGGAGCTCTGCCGATCGCGCGGGTCGACCGTCGGCTCGGGGGTCGGGGAGCCAATCCCGCTCATGTCGGCAGGCGATGCTGCCCGAAGCGTGACCAGCAAGTCGTCATACCTGGCCTGCAAGTGCGAAAAGTCGCACCGCGTGAAGCTTTTGGGGTGCGACAAGACGTTGTCCCTGAAGCGTGTCCCCAGCGTCGACGACCCGGTCCATTTTCTGTACTTTTTGAGTATCTTGCGGAACGCCACGATCTGCGCGTCGACAAAGCGCCGCAGGGAGCGGATGTCGTCGCCGCACTGGAGGAGTTCCTGCTCGTACTTGACAAACCGCCGCTGTCGTTTGATCGAGATGGTGCTCCGGCCTGATGTTGCGCAGCGTACTATTAGGCGGTGAATCTGATTGGACGAGTGCTGGAGGCGCCGCGAGATCTCGTCAGCCTTGCTGGAGACGAAGAGGTCGACTCGGTCATGTTGGCGACACAGCTCGCCATAGAAGCCTTCCTCGAACTTGCTGAGGGCGGTGTCTTGGTGTCCCGGGATCGCTATGGCCGTCGCTTGGTCCTTTGTCGTGTGCGTTTTGATGTGGTGTTTTAGAGAGTTGTAGTCAATGTTATCTGCCATGTCGGCGCAGGTTAGAAGATGTGGTTTCGAGAGGCGGCGGTTGTGGCGGGTTTGCAAACTTACAAAGGCTCCATTGCGGAACAGACTCCTGTTCGAACTGCTCCCCGTATTTCATTCCTCTCTTGACTTGTCGGGGATTCCAGATGTCTTGCAAGAAAACAAATGCCCCGATAATACCTATATGCCAGTTTCACAAAAGATGCTTGGGGAAGCGGTGGTTCAGTGGGCGATGACGACAAATTGACGAATCCTATGCAAGGGCGGGTACAGTCGGCAGGGCAGCGCTCTCGATTGTTTTGGTACCGGGTAAGCTGCCGATGATTCTGGAGTTGTTTCAACCGCAGCGGTCGATTTGACTCGACTCGAAGCAATTAGTGTCGAAGAGAAGAAACAGAGGGAATTGGGGATGCTGAAAGAGGCCTAAGAATTTGGGGTTTCTGAGCAAGTGATAAACCTGGAACCAACGCTTGTGCTGGAACCGGAGGGAGGCGAAGAACAAGAGCCTGCCAGTTCCCTCGGGCTCGGCGGGTGTCATCAGTACTTTGTTCAACCTTGTAAGCTTGGAAGAGTCTACAGGTACCCGTACCTGCTGCGACGCTGGTGGGGTACCATGCGGTTTAGTGGACCCCTACGGCCACAAATTGGGGCTGGGTTCGTCTGGGCAGGGACATGGCACATGGGAGCACATGCTGCAGAGTGCGTCGAGTGCGTCCCTCCATTTGCAGATGCACCGAAACCACAAGGAGTCCCTGGCAAAAAGCTTATCGCGACCAACTCTCCTCGGTTGTGTGTCCGTGAACCCGTCCAACCGAGTCTGTGTACATACTTAACACACGATCACAGTTACCTATTCCGTACAGGTAGGGCGCTAGGAAGCATCACAGAAAGGCTTGTCCTTCTTTTTCCGACCCTTCGCTTGGGAATTGAGATCTCAAGATCAGATCTACCCACTGTCTGCACAGAGTACAGAACTGACTGATCAAGCTCCGTAGCTGCCGGTCTTCCCTCCGGCCATCGGTCCCCTTCGACGATGGACAGCAGAGGAAGAGGCGGGACGGGAACGGCTTCATAGCTTTGAGTGCCAAGTTAGGATTGTATAACAATATGCCCGTCGTGGCTTGCCGTTGTCTTGGTGCTACGTAAACGGTCTAAAGCCAAGAGAGAGCTTTGGTAAAATACTGACTCGCATTGCGTGACAAGAAGTCGTGTTGCCACTTGACACGCCCTCTGGGATAATATCTTGAGGACAAACCTCCTACCTCACGCACGCGAGGACTTTCTACAGCAACCGTGATTCGGCGGATAGGCATGTCGTTTTCCTCTGCATCTGCAGTACCGTCGGGAGAGTAGCATTCATGTTCTTGGTCCGAAAGTTTTGACCTCTGAGACGGACAGTGCCTCCACGTGGGGGAATTCGTCCATCTTACTGGCCCCGCCGTAGAAGGCGGCAGCTTCCGCCGGCCTCTTCAGACTTGAGAATATTTTGGAAAGAAATTTTTGACCCGTTCAAGCGACCAAAGCGACGACGCTATCTTGGGCCTTACATTTCATTCGGGACATTTCCCGTCCCCTGCAGAGAGATGGTCGAGTCTGCCCATCTGTTTTGTCCCAAAAGTTCATCTTGGACTTTCGTTATTGGCCGGTTACGCAGACGAGTCGAGAGAGGGTTGCTGCTTCGTCCTGGTGTACATGGACAGATAGAGTACCGAAAGATTAGAGACAAGTGACCAAGGGTGTTTCAAGACCGAAACAATCCTTGCGCAGCGTCAGTGGCTGGTGCTTTCCCCCCGCTTGGACCCCCAAGAGGGCCTGGACCAGGGATCTGAGGCCAGGGTCAGCGCCGTTGAAGATGAGGGACGGTTCCTCCATTCGAGGCATCGATTGGTGGAAGTCCAGCTTTGAGGAGCACAACATGCCTGATTGTCTCGTGACCATCTGATGAAGATTGAAAGAAGCTTTTCAGCGTCACATAGCTTCGGGAATACGCGTGTCTGCCTCTTATAGGCCTAACGGCATCAGATATCTCTACGTATACTTCACGGCTTGTGTCTGAAGCGAAGCGAAACAGGGGACTGGCGCACATCGCGCAGCCCGGAAGAAGTCTCTTGCTTCCGCGTCGTTGCTGTCGGCTCGGCTTGCTGGTCTTCGTAATGCGTGATCAAAGTTGCTCAAGGCTATACCGGTCGTCTTTGCGGGGTTCTTGATGTGCTGTAACCAGCCACGATTGAGAGAGTTTTGCGATCTTCACTTTTTCTGCGATTCCGGCTGCACAAACGCCATCCCGAATTTCGAATTGGAAGGTGTCGATGGGGAGCTGGCCAGTGATCTTAGCTTTCGTTCAGTAGAGTCATTGATAGTCAATGCGCGCTTCATGCTGTGGGCGATCCGGAGTAATGACCGTGAAGCCTCCCGTCGGCAAGATAACCATTGGAGAAGATCGTCGCGGCCCGTATACTAGGTGTTGTTTGAGCCAGCCCATGCAGCGAAGGTGGTGTGGTTCCGAGTTCAAGGTGGTCAAGTTCAGATTGGTATTTCTACTCAAGTCGACTTGATGCTAGAGATAAAAAATGCGGGCGAAGCCATCGGGCAAACGTCCCGTCGCTGCTGTTGTTGGTGTGCGTATCATGGAATAACTGTGCCATCAATGGTTGAGAGGTAGACAAATTCAATTGGCGAGAATGAAGACCTAAGAACAAGACATCCATGTCATTGTAAGTGTGCTCAAATGATCTCCTGTAAATTTGGAGAAGCTCTCAAGGTGCTGCTGCAAGGCTCTTGAATGGGGGGCCTTGCGATAAGCCTTACCGTATCAAAGGTAAGCTCATGATTGGCTGCATCTGCCCAGCTTTGTGGTGGGGCTCAAAGGCCGTCCGAGATTTTTTGGAAGCAAAGAAGCGGCCAAAATTTGCCTTGCAACAGCATTTTGACTTTTGGGCATCGCGACGCCACAACCACAATTCGCCAGAACCAAAAAGCATGGCAGGGTCGACAGGCAGCAACTCGGACCTCACCTCCACCTCCCACACCCTCACCAATCTTCCCGCCATGTCGCAAAACGGTGTAGCCGCCCTCGGGCCCAGCTCGGCCATCGCCCTCTTCCTCGACTCGACTGCCCCGGCAAACCGCCATGTTTTCCTGCAGCCCCCACCTCTGCTCCCAAACGGCTCGCTGCAATTGGCAAAAGAGACGCTCGACTCTCTGGCTGGCCCGGTCAGCGATCAACAGCAGCAGAGGCTCCGCGAGGCTGGCAAGAAGCGCAAGAGAGACGGCAGCTACGGTCAGAGCGCCATTCTAAAAATCAGAAAACTGCACATCGACGGCTTCGAAACAGATCAAGTATGGCAGCAGGCAAAGAAGATCATCAGCAGCGCGCTTCAGGAGTCGACATCGGTCCTGGAAGAACTCGAGGAGAACAACGAAATCGAGCAAGAAGGCGCTGGGGCCAAGGCCCTGGAGTTTGGCAAGGATGGGTTTGAAGTTGGATCGGACGATGAGGATGACGCGAGCGCATCTTCCGATGTTGACGAGGGCAGTGAGGCCGATACTGAGGACTCTGACGAGGAGACATCCAGTATCGGCGAAGAAGGCGAGAGCATGTTCGATTTGGAAGCCGAGGATGACGACGAAGATGACGACGAAGATGAAGATGATGACGAAGATGAGGAGGACGAGGAGATGGGTGAAGAAGAGGAAGGGGCCGAGTTTGAAGAGGACGGAGAAGATGATGAGGATGAAGAAGACTCTGAAGCTGAAGCCGCCGACTTCGTTGAGGACCCCAACGGACTCAACGACGGCTTCTTCTCAATAGACGAGTTCAACAAGCAAACCCAATGGTTCGAGGACCAGGATGCTCGCGCAGATCCAAATACAGATTACGCCAGCGACGAGGAGGCTGTCGATTGGCACGGAGACCCGTTCGCAGTCAACAAATTTGGCAAGAAGGGGGCCAAGGATGAGGATTCGGACATGGACATGGACGACATGGATATGGATGATGACGAGGACGACGAGGGACCAGCATTGAGCAAGAAGGAGCTCGCAGATTTGGCCAAGTTCAGCGACAGCGAGGATGACGAGGGTGATGATGACCAGCCTGCCGGTGCTGACGATATGGACATGGACCTTACCGCCAACGACATCTACTACAAGGACTTCTTCGCGCCACCAGCAAAGAAGAAGACGGGCAATCAGAGAAAACCATACATGCCCAAGAAGCCGTTCCAGCCGACCGAGGAGGATATGGAAAGAGCCGAGAACGATGTCAAGCGTGATCTCTTTGATGATCTGTCCGAGTTTTCCGCCGAGGAAGACGCTCTGTCTGATGCCTCGGCCGGAAATCCCAAATCCCGTCGCTCCGCCCATGAGCGCAGACGGGCCAAGATTGCGGATGAAATTCGCAAACTCGAATCTGAATTGGTGGCCAAGCGGGCTTGGACCTTATCCGGTGAGGCCACTGCGCAGGCTCGTCCCATTAACTCGCTACTCGAGGAGGATCTTGACTTTGAGCATGCCGGCAAGCCGGTACCAGTCATGACGGAGGACGTCTCCGAGTCTATCGAGGAACTCATCAAGCGACGCATTCTCGCAAACGAATTCGACGAAGTTCTTCGCCGCCGTCCCGATGACTTTGGCAACCCGAACTCGGCCCGCCGCGGCCTGGTGGATATCGAGGACACCAAGGGCAAGCAAAGTTTGGCCGAGATATACGAGGAGCAGCACATTAAGGAGTCCAACCCTGACGCCTACGTCAGCGCGGCTGACGACAAGACGCGGAAGGACGAGGAGGAGATCAAGCAGATGTGGAAGGACGTCAGCGCCCGGCTTGACGCTCTCAGCAGCTGGCACTACAAGCCCAAGCCTGTGGCTCCCACTCTTACCGTCGTGGCCGATGTCGCTACGGTGGCCATGGAGGATGCTCAACCCACCACTGCCCAGGGTGTTGCCGGCGGCGAGAGCATGATTGCGCCCCAGGAGGTCTACGCGCCAGGCAAGGATTCGGCTGAGAAGGGCGAGGTTGTGGCCAAGAGCGGCTTGCCAGTGGCCAAGCAGGAAATGAGCCGCGAGGAGAAGGCCAGGAGACGTAGACGTGAGAAGGAGCGCATCCGCAAGGCCGGTGGCCTTGATGCCAACAAGCCTGTCAACAAGAAGGACGAGGCCCAACGGGAGACGATGAACGATCTCAAGAAGGGCGGTGTCAAGGTGATCAATAGAAAGGGTGAGGTTGTTGGGTTGGATGGGAAGAAGATTGTGGAGCACAAGGGACCTCATACCAGCGGTGCCTTCAAGTTGTGATGGGCCGACATTGATAATGTGGTGCGCGTGTTGTTTGGGTTTCATTGTTAGCATCTGTTGTATTTATCGTCGAGGCTTGAGATGTTGGATTGGAGGTCGACCTCCCATTGGTTTGCATTTCCATGTCAGCAATGCATAGATGTCTTTACTTGGTCTTGTGGGTAGAGATCCTCCTTGCTGATGGAGATAATCATGTCAAAAGTCCCCCAAATTCCCTCTGTTCATAGAATTGGTGTCTGTACACAAAGTAACTCTTGATGAGATTCATCGGAACGTATGGGAGATTCAACATCAAGTGATGTCGTCACCAATTAGAACCGCCATCAGAGCTCAAAGCTGGCCATAGCTTCAAAACAGGTCGGAAAATTCCGAGCGTTGCGAAAGACGGGTCATTTTGTACCCCACATTCAGGCGACCCCACCAATCAAAACCCCCCAGTTTGTGCTTAGAACCTGGCCCCTGCACGGCGGGCGGGCGAAAGAGAGAAGGCGAAAAGCGCTCGGGGATATCAACGTCGAACCGCCACTTTCCCAGCCTTTGATAGAGATCGAGTTCGTTCGTGGGGTTTTTTTTCCCAATCTCCCCAAGTTGCTCGCCGTTTCGGAACCTCTCCACTCAACAACCACTCCGCTACCTCGTGCGACTTGCCTGCTCGGGGCCCGGCAATTGAGGCTTGGAACGCCGACGACGAATTCCAGACCACCTACCACAACCTATACCACGGACAAGATGCTTGCCTCCGCGAGGACAGGCGCCTCGCTGGCGCTGCGAGGTAAGCTGAGCTGGATGTTTTGGGCAGAGGGGGGAATGTGGTTGCTGGGAGAGGAACGGGGGATAAGGAAGACAGGGCTAATCATTGTTGCTACTCTTGAACAGCACGCCCTACCACGACCCAGCTCGTCCCCCTCCGCGCCGCGGCGGCCATCTCGTCGTCGGCCCGCAAGGACGCCGGCGCTGTCCAGCCTCACGGTGGATACGGGCTGTCGAAGCTCCACGAACGAAAGGAGGTTCCCCTTCCCAGCCAGGAGGGCACCAAGGGCTTTGTCCAATACGCGCTGTACGTCATTCCCCCCCCCCTCCCTTTCCCCTTTCCCCTCCCTTTCCCCTTTCCCCACCCCCGTTGCTAACTATGTGCTCAACAGCACCACCCTCGACATCATCACCAACTGGGGCCGGCAGTCGTCCCTCTGGCCCATGACCTTTGGTCTGGCCTGCTGCGCCGTCGAGATGATGCACCTCTCCACCCCGCGCTACGACCAAGACAGGCTCGGTATCATTTTCCGCGCCTCGCCTCGCCAGTCGGACGTCATGATTGTGGCTGGTACGCTGACCAACAAGATGGCACCGGCGTTGCGGCAGGTGTATGATCAGATGCCTGAACCGCGCTGGGTTATCTCCATGGGGTCGTGCGCGAATGGGGGTGGGTATTATCACTATAGTTATAGTGTTGTGAGAGGGTGTGATAGGGTTGTGCCGGTGGATGTGTATGTGCCGGGGTGCCCGCCGACGAGCGAGGCGTTGATGTATGGGATTTTTCAGCTGCAGAGGAAGATGCGGAATACCAAGATTACGAGGATGTGGTATCGGAAGTGAGTTTTGGGTGGGGTTTATGGGTTGGTGGGTTGGTGGGAAAAGTCTTGGGGGCTTTATTAGAAGAGGAGGTTTGGTGGGAGTTTTGGAATGGGAAACTTTCCATCTCCCATAAAAAGAGTGTCTTGTCCTTGTGTGCGTGTGTGTGGAGGTTGTACTGTACATATGGTTCTTTGAAAAGGCCTTGACTCCCTCGTTTGTTTAGAAACATGATGGAGGGAGCGGCTGTTTGCTGTATGTTATGCAGAACGTTGCTTTGGAATATGCATTGACACGAATCATGTGGTGTTTAGAGCTCAAAATCTTTATCTCAGGACAAAATTGTAATCTGTTTTGGACGACGTTATCCCACAAGCAGGCGTTCCCCCCCATCTATGCCCATTTTCTGAGTTGGGTACCCACAAACAAACCATTCCTGGCAGTCATCGGTAATCCCCCGTTTCTTTTAAAGTACCAAGCCACACAGGCATGGCCACAGGAAGTGACTTGAAACCACCGACAAGACGGAGTGGATTGATGATCAGGGAGATGATGGCAAGTCCAAGCTTGTGTCCGAACCTGGAGGCTAACTCGCCGAGAATGTGCATGAAGAGGCAGCTGAGCCAGTGACCGACGAGCATGAAGATGACGAAGTGGGTGAGTTCGGTGCTGAGGGAGAGGTGGTGTCGGAGGAGGAAGAAGGCGATGTAGATGAGGGATATGGATGGGGGGAAGGGGAGGATGGCGAAGGTGTTGGGGTTTGGCTGGTGAGCTTTTGACATTCTTCTTCTGCTTTCGACATGCTGTTCTATGCCTTGCTGTACTGCATTCAGCCCGATGTATGTAGGATGTGGTGTGGATGCAATAGATGGTGATATACACATTATGGTACAGGCTATTTTCTACACCCTCTCCTCCTACGACTTGTCTTCCCTCTGGCTCCCTGACTTGGCTCGGCGGTGTTCTTTTCCATTGGTCCCTTTGGATTCGAAGAGACATAGATCTTGAAATGCCCAAGTCAGATGACAGCTGGTGTCTTCCCAATTGAGTGGTGATTGCTCATCTTCGTCCCTCCATCACCTCCCTTTCCTCATTTAAACAGCCTATACAGACCCAGATAGGCCAATCCTAACGAGAGACCCGTGATGGCGGCACTCCTGCTGCGCATACCAAATCTCGATTTTGAAGCCAAGATGGCAGCCTTTTGTGCTTGTAATTGTTGCTGACCGGAGAGATAGCTGTAACCAGCAAGACCCAAGAATGCACCGCCGCCTGTTATGCAGGATTAGAACATAAGCCCATGGAGATGACATGAGATGAACCAGAAGGCGAAAACATACCCACTATCCTGCACGAAAGGCAGTCATCATCTCTGTCTTGCTTGAGCAGATCCTCAAGCTTCTCGGGCCTGTTGAGATGGGAGAGGCGTGGGATGTCGTCTTTAGCCATGTCTGTGAGATGTTATGTAGATGTGAGTTATGGGTGTTATTTGACTCGGAGTGAGAGACCTCGAGGATGAGACGTTCAGGAACATCAAATTCAAGACCCACTTGTCAAAACGGCCTTGTCGCGCGCCAAGCGTTTGGCACACCGAGGACCCTTGCAAGCTCCCACAGCTCATTGCGTCAGTGCCCGCCAACAAACAGCTTCCCCCCAACTGAACCACATTCAACCACACACTAACCAAGCTGCCCACCATGAACGGGGTCATCGAGGCGCTTCACATCTACGACGAGCACAAGTAAGGTTTCTCTCCAACTTTAAATTACACTTCTTCTGCTGACACCTTTTTCCAAAGCAGCCCAATCCTCTCCCACACCTACACCTCCCGTCCCCTCTCCCCCTCCTACCTCCTCCCCTTCTACCTCTCCCATCCCGCCCCACGACCGAACTTGATCTACCTCCCCCAGACCAACCCTCCGACCCTGGTCTTCTCCCTCGCCCACGCCAATCTATTATTCCTCATCACCACCTCCTCCGAAGTCGAACCCCTCCTCGTCCTCGAGTTCCTGCACCGCATCGTCGACTCCTTTGAAGAATTCCTCGGCGCGCCACTCCTGGCTCACAAAATCGAAAGCAACTACGATGTCGTCGCCCAGCTCCTCACAGAAATGTGCGATGCCGGAACGGTCAACACCACCGAACCAAACGCACTAAGGGACATGGTCGAGGTGGAAGGGTGGGTGGACAAGCTACTGGGGGGGTTGAACCTATCTGCGGGGAAGAACTTTGCCGGGGGTTTGGGGGGAGGTATGGGAAGCAGCGCTGCGTCGTCGTCATCGCTGATATCACAAAACACCCCCGCGCTGCCGTGGAGGAGGGCAAATGTCCGGCACACTTCCAATGAGCTCTACGCCGATGTGGTGGAGACGCTGTCGGTCACGCTCGCGCCGTCGGGGAGACCGCTGGCGGCGTTTGCCAACGGTACGATAGCGTTCACGACCAAGGTTTCGGGCGTGCCGGATATTGTGGTTACGCTGAGCGGGCCGTCGGGGAAGCATAACCTGAAGGGGATCGTTGACTTGCCTGTTTTTCACCCGTGTGTCAGACTGGCAAAGTGGAGGGAACAACCTGGCGTGTTGAGCTTTGTCCCGCCAGATGGGAGGTTTACGTTGGCGGGGTATGAGGTTGATTTGCTGCCTTTTGACGTGGACGGGAAGCCGCCTACGGGGAATTTGAAACTGCCGGTTAGTCTGGAGATGAAGACGGGGTTAGGGCTGACGGGGTCGGATTTTGAGGTGAGGGTGCAGTTGAATAAGGTTTTTGGGAGCAGCGGGAGCGTGCAAGGAGGGGGGATGGGTGCGAGGACTGGGCTTCAGGGGAGAGGGTCAGGGGGTGGCAGTGGGCCGGGAGGAGGGTTTGGGATTCCGAATGCCGGGACTCCGGCGTCGCCTTCACTGCATGATTTGGTGATTACCGTGCCGTTGCCGGCGGATGTGAGGAATGTGCCGGAGATTAGGCCGAGTAAAGGGGATGCGACGTATAACCCTGGGGAGAGGGTGCTGGAGTGGACGATTAGCAACAAGGAGCTGGCGCAGGGCATGTCTGCTTTTGTGTTAAGGTGTACGGTTGTGGGACAGCAGGTGACGGAGGAGGGGGAGGAGGGTGATCCGACTGGGTTTGGGTTTGGTGGTGGTGGTGGGGGCTATAACTACGACGAGCCGTATCAAGACATTGCGGTCACGAGTACTACAAAGGAGAAAGGGGTGGATAAGGCTTGGGAAGCGGAACGGGACGAGAAAAGACAGGCGCAGAATAAGATTTTGATGCCGAGCTCGGCTTTGGTTAGTTTTGCTGTCAAAGGGTGGCTGCCGAGCGGTATCAAGGTTGAGAGCATCATTATTGACCCGAGGAAGAGTAGAGGGATGGTGGAGCACATGAAACCTTACAAGGGAGTCAAGTATTTGACCGTGAGCAAGGGGGGCGTTGAGATTAGGTGTTGATGATGGCATACCTTCACAAACGCATGGTATAGATGCATCACTAATAGACATATCGGAGGGTCAAAGGACTTCCATGCCAGGACTGTTCGTTTTCTATGGGTTGAGGCTCTTACAGTGGTGTGTCTACACTGTAAAGGCCTTGTAGCACTGTGTGGTTGGATCCGATATTCCGATGGGGATACAAAATGCAAGGTCTACTATGTGCGCTGCAGCTGCGTCAACGTAGCATTCTATCTCCAGATTGCCCAACACTTTATACTCAGGCTCGCGGTTGGTCAACTTACGAAGACTGAGCCAGGCACCAACGAGCCATCCGTTATTCAGCACTCTGTAGATTTGGCCTGAGAACCCAAGTATGAAGTTTGATATATACTATTCACTCATACATCATGGTTGTCTCTTCAGAACCTTCAGTCGCTCGACGCATCGTACCGTCACCACAGCATTCTGTCTTCGTCACCGACCCCCAGGAGAAACAAAATACACCACAAACAAACTCCCAAAGTCCGACACCCCCCTCCCATAACCCGATCCAATATCAACTCGCCTAAATAATGACCACTCTCCTCGGGCCCAAACCGACAAAGAGCATCATCCGCCGGCCTCACCTGGCCATCACCGCGCCTCTTTCCCCCCACGCAGAGGTAGAGTTCCCCGCCAACCCGCCCCCAAATGTTCTTGTACATTGACCTCATATAATACCCTCAAAAATAACAAGATCCCCCGGTCCGAATCTCACTCTGCCGCTCGGGTGTGCCGTGCCGGGGCGGCACGGTCGACGGCAACGACAGACGGACTTGCGTCCCTGTGACTTGCGTTAGCTCCGCCAGAGTTGAGGCGGCCTTGTTTCTCGGCGAGGGTTCTTTAGCATGATATTACTGCCATGTTAAACTAATGCTGGTAGAAAGCTGAAAGCTGAGAGATGGTAATGGGGGCCGGGTATTTCAGCCGGCCGCCCAAGTTGCAATGAATTCAAGAGGTTTTGCTTGAATAGGGGGTGCTGTGTGTTTCCTAGGTAGGTGGATCAAAACAACTTGGTTTCTTTCTGACAATGGAGCTTGTCTGTGGGCGTCGTTTTGCAATGGGACCGGTAACAACGACATCCATTCTCGAACAACATTGACTGTGTTTGCTATGACATTATAGAGCCTGTCCAACACCGAAATAATAACGTGAATCACATTCCCCCCGCGACGGCCATCTAGTCCCGTCATATTATCCCGCGTGTTGTTTGGTTTGGCCTCCTGGCCCGGCCACTATTGACCACCGCCAACTCCCAATGCCTTACTATCAGTATCCCACCCCCCCCAACTTAAAAGCCGACCTCTTCTCTACCACTAAACGCGAAGAAAAAACACAAGCGCGAAGCGTTACACCGCAACCCCAGAGCCCTCCCTCCCGTCCGAGCTGAACCGAGCACATCCGGCGGCCAGCCCATATTATGCTGGTCGCTTGTCTTGCACCCCATCCCTCCATTACCAGCAACTGTTGTTGCACAGCGTCAAGATTCCGGGTTCCCACCAACAGACCTCATCATGACGGCGGCGGCGGCGGTGGTGGGTGGTGGTCCCGGATCTCGGCCTGATGGTTCCAGGTTACACGCACAACAGAACCTGCAAGGTTGGACGCATAGATAACTTATCACACCCCCCGAAACAGAGCTGACTATCTTCGAGATAAGGTAGGTAAAAGCACACAACCGGAAAAGTTTACTGGTGAATTTACAGACAAAGCGGGGGAGGTGACGAGGCAAGCGCGGTCACTGTTGCTGGCCGCGGGGGCTACGCCGCTTGGTGGCATTTGGCTGCTTGTCTTCTTTGGAGGTGGGACCTAGACGAGGGAATGGAATGGTGATACGGCATGCATAGAAAGGCAAGAGGTGAGAGGGTGTTTTAGGTCCGTAGGTCGAGGGAAGAATGAGCTGAAAATATTCAGTGGATTTGCTGCAAGGGCAAGGCAGGTTTCTTTTTTTCAATTTTATTTAATTTCTTTTTCTAATTTTTTACCTACTTATGCAAGACATCGTGGACCTCTAGAGGTTTGTCGTTGGACAATGCAGACCTACCATAAAACGCAGCAATTGGGACAAGAAAATGGGCAACGATCTGCAATGGACATCTTATTACACATACGAAGGTGGGCATATCATTCCGGCCGGTGTAAATCGGTGAAATCATGACAGCAGACAACGAGAGACGGCCTTACTCATACATACCCTCAAGACGGGTCCCCTCCGTTACAAGACGCAGACAGCAGTATTCTCCTGAAAATGCAAGCAATCACCCATTCCGTCCGGACACCCAACCTTGCTCATCCGCAGTTGGCACCGCCCAACCATCGGGCAGCTTGTCATACACACCCAGATCTCACCTTGCGCGGGATGTACCAACTAACCCATTTACTGACCCTTCTTCCTCCTGCAACAGCAAGTTCCCCATCACCACATCGCCCAGCCCGAATCTGTGACCTCCCTCTTTTTGATCGCCATATAGTTCGCTCGATGGTAGTAGTAGACAACCGACAAACAAAAGAACCAACAACATAAAAAGCCATATTAACCCCCCTTCCCCCCGCCTTCCCCTATCAGCCCGTGATAGACCATGCAAGGTATCTAAAATTACGACCTCGACTCAAACCGTGCCTCTTCTCTGCATACTATGGTTGATTACAGCTGTAAAATACAATACAGTCAGTCATGCATGTCATACGGTAAACACTTGAGCATTTCAACAGACATTGGACCATCAAAACAAAATACACAGACGTTAAGCAAATAAACTTAATATTTCCTCAACCTCTCCCCTGCCCCTCCCCCTTTCTGATACCCCCTTCCCCTGTCATATCATACCCGTACACAGCCACCAGCCCAGCCGATGCTATTCGCACACACACACACACACACACACACACACACTCCCCCTCTTCCTTCCCCTCCCTTTTCCTCCCATGAAACAACAAGAAACATGATACACTTTCGGCTCCTAGCATACATTACAAGATGATTGGCAGAAAAAAAAATACATCAAATATTGGGTATCATGAAAAGACATGGTGATTACAACAAGCTTAAAGAAACAGAAGAAAAAAAAGACAGGATAACACCCAGTTAGTTGTTGTTCCAATGAATAATGATGTTGTTGATGCGAGCGTCAAAGAAAGAAAAAGAAAAACAAGAGATGGATGGTCAGCTCAATCAGACAAAAGCAATCCCCCTCCTATGCCCAGCCTTCAACCCCATGTAAATGCTATACGTCGCCACGTCCTGTCCGTCTGTCAGTATATCCCAGTCTTTCATGTTGGAAAACAAAACTCACCCTAGTAACCACACTCCCCGCCCCCACCGTGCTCCCCCTCCCAATCCTCACCCCAGGCAAAATAACCACATTCGCCGCAATCCACACGTCATCCTCAATCACCACCGGCTTCCCATACTGCGTCCCGCTGTTGCCCGCCCGCCTCCGCGGATCGGTGCTGCACGTCCCCGTGTAAATACACACATTCGGGCTGATAATGACATTGCTCCCGATCCGGACCTCGCAGACGTCGTTGATCAGACAGTTTCTGCCAATCGAGACATTGTTCCCAATCTGAATGTTGTACCCATAGTCGCAGTTGAAGGGCGCCTCGACAGCCGTGTTGTCGCCCACCCGACCCGTGTGCGTGACGGGGGACATGAGAGTGGGCGAGAGGTGCACGCCTTCGCGAGGATGGAGAATGTCTCTGAACAGGCGGGCGCGCTCGGCTGGGGAGACGCCAATGTTGGGGTTGGTCGAGTTGTTGAAGCGCCAGCAGGCCGCGTTGCAGCGCTCGCGCTCGAGGACGAGCTCCTTGTCAAAAGGGTAGTATTGTCGGCCGTTGAGCATCTCTTCCTTTTCGCGACGGGGACGGTCAGAGGGAAATTGCGTGTGGGATAGGGCCAGCTGAGCGGTGGCTTGTGGCCCGCCGCTGCTGCCACCCACAGACGACGATGGCGGCGGGGCTGGAGGGGCGGCCTGGGCTGTGGGCGGGGTGGCCGTTCTGCCTGTGTGGAAACTATAAGGAGGGTGAGCAACAGTGGTGCTTTGCGGAGGAGGGGGAGGCGGCGGAGGAGGTGCTGATGCAGATGGCGGAGGCTGCGACTGCTGAGACTGTTGCTGCTGCTGTTGCTGCTGCTGCTGCTCGGGGTCGGTCCTAGTGAGGTCATGCAGGGGCGGCACCCTCTGGTATTCCTTGGGTGCCCGGTCAGACAGGGCCGAGTTGGTGACGGCGCTGATGGGCGTGGGAAACATGGCTGAGGCTGATGAAGTGTAGGCAGAAGAAAGAGCAGACAGCTTGTTGTCAGGGCTCAGCACGGAGCTCGGAAGTGTCGATGCGGTCAGTCTATCGTCGTCAGACTGTAATGGGCGACCCTGAGGGGGGGTGATCCGGAGCGTGGGCTGGACGCGGTTATAAGCAATCGAGTCGCGTTTGGACGGCGGACCCGGAAGCGGCTCCCGGGGGTATGGTGGTTGCTGAGGCATCCCGTAGGCACCTGGTGGGACGTAGTTGGGGTCCTTCGATTCAATGGTGACTTGGGCCGGTTTGGCCTCGGGCTTCTGCCATGTTCCCCTCTGCGGGGGATATCCCGCACAAACAAACCCGCCGCGGATACAGTTGTTACCTGGCAGGATTGTTAACCCTCAGCAAAACAGGTCGGGCCCAACGCGACCACATATCGAGGCCCATATAAAAAACAACAACAACAACAACAATACTTACATTCTGGTTTGGTCTCGTCGCATTTCTTTTTGCGCTTCCTGCAGGTCAGACAGCCTGTTTTGGTGCGGTTGCTGAAATTGCGCTTCCGCTTCTTGGGATCTGACTGGATGACCCCATCTCTGCGCTGCTCCGGCGTGTACTGGCCTGAGTACATACCTCGGTCGTCCCCGTCCGGGCTCTGATCCCCATAGTCGGCGCTGTCTCCCTGGCTCGTGGCTCTCCGGTGCCTATTGCCGGGTTGGTCGTCAGAGACGGCCGATACC